TTTGAAAGATTGGCAGCGAATATCGTTACATTTATAGTTAAAAAATATGTTACAAACAATTGAATGTTATTTCTAGCAGTCTTTAAACAATGAAATACTAAACGCAGTTAACGAATAATTTAATCCTCTCACAAATGCAAAATTGTCCTGCATTCGTCTCTTGGTCTCAAATTGTTTATTCAAGTATTAATTCTAAGATAAATAATTTTGAAAACCTAATTATATATACATATATATTACAACTATTGAAACATGCATCGGTGGATTTTTTCGAACACCGTTCTCGGGAATTCAAATCGTAAGGAAACTAAATATAAATATTTCAAAAAGTGAAGAAAGTAAACTGAACACGCAATAAAATTCTTTACTGCGTTAAAGTCTCCCAGTGGAAAGAATCCTGCAATACCGAAACCATTTTTGGCCCCACGTTTATTAATATTTTTCCGCATGTTTTACGAGTACATAACGCGAGCTCCTAAAGTTTGACGGACGGCAACTTTTATCAACGCCCTGTAGGAATGGCGAGTATTTTCTGTTTGCTCGTGTTCGGTACTTAAAACGGATTCCGTCTGCAATTTCGATTGCATTATAGGAGCTCGCCACGAACGGGAAATGGTAAACGATATTTACGATTCGGTTGAAATATTCCGGCCCGCGGACTGAATGATCGATAAATTGACGGTGTGCGTATTTTTCAGGACGAGAAGGACTTATCGGCAGCGGACGCGGAGGGTGTATGGTCGCCGGATATCGAGCAGAGCTTCCAGGAAGCTCTCACTATATATCCGCCATGCGGTCGACGCAAAATCATCCTGTCCGACGAAGGGAAGATGTACGGTGAGTCGAGCAATTTCCTGGCAAATCTCTTTCCGATGTTTTTCTTGAGAGAACTGTAACGATAACGTTCGAAATTATTCGAATTGTTTCTGTCCGTGCATTTCAACCTTTTAACTGTGTATTTTCCAAATGTGAGCATTCACAAGAGCGTAATTCGAGACGAATTAACACTAAAACTCCCGAGCAATTGGAGTGACTTATTTCTAAGTTTTTATACAAATTAGAACAATATATTTCTTGAGATTTGATGGATCCCTTATTGTTGTGTCTATACAAATACACAAATTTATTTCAGAATTTCTCGCCAAAGCCTTGTCATAATTTAAATACTTGCAAACTAAATATTCTGTAATGGGTTAATTTGTCTCGTCTGGTAGTTTTAGTGTTAAATTAATATAACACTGTAAGAAGATACACTTTAATATTGCACGGTTTGTAATGGTATGGGCATCATAGGTTGACGAAACATAAAAATTGTTTATTCAACTGTGTTTTGCGCGGTGAAATTATTTATTTCTAAAATCATTTAGGATATTTAACGTTTTCAAGATATCAATAATTGCGAAATCGGAAAACTGAAATCTGTCATTTTGAAGGTGCGGTTGTGTTAATGAATATATTTTCTGCATCTAACATACGAGTAGTTATTAAGAGAGTCGCTTATGTTTAATGAAACACTTTCTGCGAGCGGCAATAAAACTCTTAGAATCTTTTCCTTTCGAATTAATGGAAATCTTATATCGCCGGAAATTAGTGGAATAGTTCCGTGTGATTCCACCGAAAGGAAAATCCTCGTTTGCAAGTAACGTCGCGACGGAGGAAAGTATCCTTCCCGTGAGTACCTACAGGGCCGTTGCGTTCCACGTACGCGACGGCAGAAACGTCTAGGCGGGCGTCGTTATTGCTCGATGCTGAGGTCAGTCTACGTGACCAACCAGATATTGCCTGCTACGACCACGGGTACCACCGTAGTCACCACCATTAACCGCCCTCAGCTCTCTACCAGGGCAATAATGCCACGCCTCGAAAGATACCCCCTTGACCAACATCTTTGTCCCAATATTATTTACCATCTCCCTCGTCCGTTAACTCATTTGCATCATACGAGAAAATGAAAAGTGTACCCGTTACAGCAAATTTTGTGCATTAAACCTACATTGGGTAGACCTAACTGAAGCAGATTATTTTCTGTGCGACAGTAAAAAGAAATAAAGATGTTGAAACGTTAGTAATAAAAAACGAAAGAGAATTTTTTAAAGGTATAAGCCACTGGAGATCTCAATAAATCTCAATGAATAGTCGATTTGATCGCTCGGTAATTCTAGTATTAAGGAAAGAAAAAAAAATAACGTTAATGGGTTAACAACTGCACCGACGAGCTGGAGAAACCAATGAGTTCGCGTGCGCGCCGGTAGCCGAATATCAACGCAATCGAGGGCCGTTTATATCGCATAAAACGATGTCCAGGTATTTCGTTACAGAGCTATCCCCTGACAAAGGACTTGGAGTTGGTTAATGACTATTTAGGAACAACCCAGTCGAGACAGAACGCGTGAGAACCGACTCGCCTACCCCGGTTTCATAGTGTCCAGTGTGATGCGATTTCGCGGAGTGAATCAACTGAATGACCCATAAACCCATGGGTACATGTACAAGCACACACGACACCGTGTAAGTCCTGAGTGGTCGAACGTGCTCGCGAGTAACAGACGTCTATACGTGTTCCCCGGTGGTCAGATAAACGCGAGAGTGTAATCTCACCGTGTTACGGTGTGCCCTTCAATATACCGGGTGTTCGGATATTTTTGCCCGCCCCTTAGAATCATTTCTTTCGTGAATTTTCGTCGTATATATTTTTCATGGTCATTTTTAGGTGTAACGGAGAAAACAAATACAGGGTGTTTCTGAAATTATATCATGATCGGGGAGAGATGTGTTAGAGGAAGTAAAAAATTAAGTAGAAAATGTCGAATAACATTTTTTCCATTGGCGTCTTCATTTTCGAGATAATCTCGTTTGAACTCGAGCGTGTCTGCTATTCAATAGAAATTTACTGATATGTTCATAATTTCAAAAATTAGAATTACACGTAAGACGAGACAAAATAAAGAAAAATATTTAATAAAGTTTTTTAATAATATTCGTCAGTCATTTTTATCGCGATATTCGCACCTTTGATTGTTTTCCATTAAGCAACATTAACCAAGAATCGAATGCCGTATCAAAGTATAAGTACATTCATGTTTTTGAGTAAGAGCAACAAGAAATATTCCATTAATAATTCAATTATTAATTGAATAACACGTTATGTTACATACTTAAGTAATTTGTGATATTCACTTAATAAGTAAGAAAAAAGCAAAATATTGAAAAAAGTTACTTAAAAATACTCGTCGATCACTTTTATGGCGATACTTGCATCTTCGATTTTTTCCCATTAAGCAACATCGAACAAGAACCGAATAAAGTGTACACGAGGTTTCACCCGCTACCGTTAAGGATCAGGTGGGTTAGCGAGCGTACGACTTATCTGTTTAAATACGTCCCGAGGCGGTGCACACCCGCCCGTGTTTAAACGGTCAGCTACCTGATGATTATAGTAGCTACCTCGCACAATCGCGGAAGTTTCTAGTGAACCAACTACGAAATCACTTCAAATCTTTACTCGAAACATTGTTTCCTCGGCGCATTTTCCTTGCACAAATATTTTAACAGTTTTTCAACGGAACAAACGAGAATTTTCATCGTACGAATTCCTCGCGGCGAAATTGTAGCGTTTTCAATGCAAAACAATTCTACAAGAATAGAAGTCGATTTATTGAAATTAATCGAAATTAAACTAATCAACATTTTAGAGTAGCGATTTCGAAAGTTATAAGAATTAAACTTTAAAATTCAGTTTTTGACGAAAAATGATTTTTTATTTCGAGATATTTATGTGTGTGTGGAATATCATTCGGTTTTATGATAATATTAATGAATTGTAAAAATGGCAAAAGTTAAATGATCTTAATCTGTCAACCAGGAAAATCAAATTTACTCTTCATTTATAATACATTTCTTTTTTGCACCCCCTTCCTTTCTCATTTATTCGACTAGCAATTCTTATACTTTATTGGATCACAATACGCGTCATAACGCAAAGTACGTTGTATCAACGTTTATCAATACAAAACATTGATCGTATTCATTTGATTCGTCTTTAGTTATATCTTGCTAAATATTTATGCTCAAAATATTATCTTCTTAACGCTTCGACTACTGTATTAATCATAGAGCTGACACAATTCATTGTCCAAATTGGCAACTAAACGTTTCCTAATGATGTATTAAACGAATAAGATTTCTTTAGCATTTGAAATATATAGAAGAAGATGAAAAGAATAAGCTCTATAATAAATCTCAACAGTAAAGTTCTTGTTGCGTTTTTTATTGAATAATTTATTTTCATTCGGCATAACTTGTATGAACAATAGTTCAGCAGCCAATGCGTCAATAAGTTAACCCATTGCTCTCGTATATCATACTGGAGATGACAATACAAATTTGTTACGGAACGTTGGAAACTGTTTGAAAAAGTATCACACTTTAAAAGATTATAAAAATTAAATTATATTATAATAATTCATTCCTCTACAAATAAATACAAGTTTACACCCAACAACCTTGAAAATAATTCGAGTGCAAAGGGTTAAAATTCGCGACATGAAGCCCCTTGCTGCAAGGTGAAGTTGAAAGTCGAGGCAAAGAAAACGGAACGGAAAGAGAAAATCGCAAGGAGAAGCAATTCACGAGAAATTTGCAAGAAACGATATTTACGGAATTCGCCGCGGAACACTGACCCTTGTGGAAGCAGTTACACGCCGGGGCTTCAATCCAAAAACGTTCTTAGACCGCAGCCGCGCGGTTTTTCTTTTCTAGTACACCGGTAAGAAACGCTAAACACTCCTCTAAGCGGCCCTCCATGCTTCAGAGAGCGCACATCCTTCTATTTCTGCCGGTTTATTGGATACCGGACGAAAGGACGCGGTTTCTTTTAGCTTTGTCGAAGACAGCCCGGCCCCTGTTCACCCGAAAACAGTGTAGAAAAAGTTTCTTAGCTGGGGTTCAAGTACCTTGTACTGTATCATTCGCGATCTCTTTCTTCGAGCAATGCTACTTTGCATTGGCTTCTGTAACAGTTTGAAAGCTGTGGTACTGATTGAAACTATTCTTCGGTAATTCTGTTGCTGTCGATGAAAAGCGGTTGAAGGAACTCGTTTTCGCACTCCAATTTTTTTGTTTCTTTTTGTAATTCTGTGCTTTCTTTCGCGGATGTAATAAAGTGTTTCGGTATTAGTGTCAACATAATCTGATTTTGATAGAATTTACTTTGTGAATGATTAATTTGAAGAAAGAGAAACGCAATACTGAAAAATTAATGGGTAAAATAAACAAGCAACCATGAGAAAGTATCATGATTGATTTACTGAATTATTCTGTAATATTGCTTCATAATATTCAGATATTTGTGTTATACAAATTCAGTCTTAAAAATTCAATATCACCCAGCGAAGCTTTGTTTTCACTGTAAGGACTAAACTTTTACTTGACTTTGATTTTACAAATTAAGATAAAGAGATGTGCTTTTTATATAATGTTATTAATATCAATTTCTTTGTAACCGTTTACAAATATTCTTTTCTTCAGTTCATCTATAATCCTTACTGCCCCCAAAATTTCCCGTTAAATCAATTTAATAATACATATTAAACACAATCAACGAAACTTCTCTAGACCAAAAGAATTTTACTCTATTTTCAACTCATAGCCAATCAGTTTGTTGTTTTAGTTAAAGAATGCGAAAATAAGACGCAATATAAGATCAATCCGAATGTTTGCGAGAGGAGTAAGAACGTCAGCGTTGATGTCGGCCGTCCACCGGATGGAAATAGAGGATAACGAGGCGCGAAAATCGCTTAACGCGATTGGCCATCGATCCTAAGGGAAACTTATCTTGC